GCCGGCGCTGCTGGCCGCGCCGCCCCGCCGCGCGCGCCGCCGCCTCCCTGTGCGTGGGCCCGCGGCCGCCGGCGGCGAGGGCGCCGCGCCGCGCCGCGCCGCGTGACTCACCGCTGGATGAGCGGCCGCTGCAGCCTTACATGGCCAACACAAAGTTCAGCAACGCCTTTTTTGGGGCGGCGGCGGCGGCCGCGCGCGGCCGGCCCGGAACCTGTTGGCCTTGCTGGCCGCGACTCGACCACGCCGGCCGGCCGGGCCGGGCGCACACCTGGCACGGTCAGGCGCGCCCGGCGGCCGCCGCCACGCCGCGGCCCGCCCGCGCCACCGCCGTCGGCTCCGGCGCCGTGCAACGCGTCGGCCGGTACCACTCGCGTCGGCGTCGGCGGCGGCGGCGCGGCGCTAGGGCGCGGCCGCGCGCCGGCGGCCGTCGGGTCCGCGGCGAGGGTCATCGTCCAGCCGTGTAATGTATGCTGTCAGTAATTCACGCGGTAATAGCAAGCAACTGACGCAGCTCTGTGCGGCCATCGCTCCACGTCGGGCCGGTGTGGCGGACGCTGCGTGCGGCCTCGGTCGCCGCTGCACGGCCCGGGACGGTCGGCCGGCCAGCGGCGGCGCGGCAACGCCCCCCTGTCGGCCGGCCGGGCCCGCTGACGGCTGGGGGCGGCGCGCGCCGGCCGCGCGCACGCAGCCGGTGGTTTGGACCGCCAAACGGCGCACCGCCCCCGTGTAATAGCGGCGCTGGCCGGCCGGGCGGGGGCCGCAGGGTCGGCGCCGACCGACCTCGGCAGGCGCCTCCTCGAGCCGGCGCGCGCGCGCTGGTCCGCCGCGCCGCGGCGGCTGCAGCGCCCCCCGGTGTCGCGGATAAATCATCGCGCGGGGACGCGCCGTAACGGATGGTGTCATTAGCGTCACATATGACCGGTAATTGAGGTGTAGCGCCCATTATGTTTGCCGATGCGCTGTCGCCGGCTGATGAAGCCGTGATTGGGTTTTGTTTGCGGCCCGTGCCGTGCATGCCGAGTGCGGCGCGCTGTGGCGGCGTGCTGGGCCGTGCAGAGGCGGCCGCGGCGCGCGCCGGCCGCCCGCCGCGGCCGGCGATACCGATCTGGGCATCCGGCGACACTGTCCTGCAGGCCGGTGCCCATTAGGCGACTCTTGTCCTCTCGTCACGCGGCCGGCCGCTGATCGGGCCGACAGCCGACCGGCCCGCCGCGCCCGGCGCCACACAGATACGGCCACGTCCCTCGCTGGTCAAAACAGGTGCCCGCCGCCCACGCGGCCGACCGGGCCAGCCGTCATACAGAACAAGCCCGGCCCGACAGGCCGCCGCCAGTTCCGGGTCGCCCTGGCCCGGGCTGTGACTAAGCCGCCGTTTGTCTCGACTTCTATGACTGACCGCTCTGTCCTGGCTCTGAAGCGCTGTTCCGTTTCGACCCTGCATCTGTGACCAAGTGGTCTTTCCGACGCATGCGTGACTGATTTCTACGTCGCACCATGGGACGGACTGCTCCGTCGTGGTGCGCCGACCGCTCCGTCCTGATTTGTGACCGACTGTTCCGTCCTGATTTATGACGGCCTGATGTGCGCTGCTACGTGTGGAAACGGCCCCAGAGACCGGCCTCTTCTGCTGCAGCTGGCCGGCTGTAGGAACAGACCCCCGCAGCGGCCGGAAGGGCGGCAGGCGCACCGCATGCCAATGCGATGCGGCGGGGCTCGTCCTCCGAGGAGGCCCGCTCCGGTCGTCCGTCCGGGGACTGTCGGCCGATCCACCTGTTCGTCCTGGGGCTGTCGGCCGCTTCTCCTGTCCGTCCCGGGACTGTCGGCCGATCCACCTGTTCGTCCTGGGGCTGTCGGCCCGCTCCTCCTGTTCGCCCCGGGACTGTCGGTCGATTCTCCTGTTCGTCCCGGGACTGTCGGCTCGCTCCTCCTGTCCGCCCCGGGACTACCGACCGCGGGTACCGGTAGTTCAGTGATTAAGCTGTGCGTCTGGACAACCGGAGGTATGGGTTTCGATCCCCCGCGGTCCCCGCCCTTCCGGTCAGGACGAGAGGCAGGCCACACCATATGACCTCAGTAGCTGAGTGCGTCGTAAAGCCCAATGACGACGATGAAGGCTGTCGACCGTTTCGCCTGCCTGGCCTGAACGTTGAATGGTTCTGTGTGTGTCGGAGACGGGCGGCTCATCATCATTGCCGTCGCGCACTGTGTGCGGCCCGACTGGACGCATCGTCCGTCGCTGCGGCGCTGTCCACCGCTGCTGCGCTGCTGTCCAGCGGTGGCGGCGTGGCCCTTGTGCTCACGTCCGAGATGGATGTGCCGTCCGCCCCGAACGCACGCACGTCCGTCTGCGGCGGCGCCACCTGCCGCACGGCCGCTGCAGGGGCGTCGCCCCACCCCGTCCAGCGCCGCGCCCCGCCCCGCTGGAGGCCGCCGTGTGACGTCATGGGCTACGGTGACACGGAGGTGCTCAGCCTCCCCCGGTATAGGCCCGCGTGCCCGCGGGGTTCTGCATGGCGGCACGTCGGCCACGGCGCGGCGGTCGGCGCCGGACTGTTGGTGGTCCGGATAGCCGCCGGAGGGGATCGCGTCGGACTGTTGGTGGTCCGGATAACCGCCGGAGGGGATCGCGCCGGACTGTTGGTGGTCCGGGTAGCCGCCGGAGGGGATCGCGCCTCGCTGCTAGTGGTCCAGATAGCCGCCGGAGGGGATCGCGGCGCCGCCGGTCGGGCCTCTCGCGGCGTAGGCGGGACGAGAGCCTTGTGCTGTGCGTAGCCTTCGGACCGCGTTGTGCGACGGGTTTTCGGCGGTTCGCCGGAGTCGCCGGTGCTGCTCTCGGTGCAGCCTTGACCCGTATGCGAATGAATTAGCCCACTGACGGCGCTTGCAGACTGGAGGGCGGTGAAAGGCTGCTGCTTCGAACATCCAGCGGGGCCGGCTTGCCGGGCCCTGCACGCTCTGCCGCACGGTCAGCCGATCATATCGTCGGCTCGGAACCCACGCATATCAAATGCTGCCAATGTAAAAAGGTGAAAGTCTGTCCACCGCCTGGCAAAACTGATGGGACGAGACGACCGCTTTGTGGCGACGCCGCCGTCTAGTGCCCGCGCGCTACCTGCTTAAAGTTGACCCAGAAACTACGGAGGGGGCGTATTCCTTTGCAACGGATGCCGCCTGTCCCTGCCTGCCCTGTCGACATGGTACGCCTCCCCCGCCCTCCCCCCCCCCCCCCCCTCCAGTGGGTCTCCCAATGTGTTCCTTCATGTTCTCCCATGGGGAGGCAAGTGCCCCAGTCGTCTTGAAATGTAACGTGGTGCATGTGGCATTGCATGAAAAGGATGGGACGACATAGAACATTGTCTTTTCATTCATTCCCTTGCCCCCATCCCCTCCAGCAAATCATCAGGCGGTGACGCCGGCTGCAGTCTCCCGCGGACGTGGCTTTCTCGCCATGTGATTGGCCGACATCAAACGAGTCTAGCCCACCTCATGCACGAAGTATCTCCAATGACGTCAACATGCCAGCTCCTGCATCAGCTCCCGGCCAGCCAGTGTGCGCCATCCCCGCCAGCCGACGGTCTTCCCCGGCGCCGCGGCCGTCGGCCGGCTGGCCGCCGCGTATGGTGGCCCGGCCGCAGCTCCGTATACGGCGCGCGCGCGGCCGCCGCCATACCGGATCAGGTTGCCCTTTAGGCGGCCGGTCACAAATAGCGCGCCGGGCGGCCGACGGGCGCCGCCGCCGGTTTCGGTTAATTTTAGTCGGCGGCAGCGCCCTCACGCGGCCGCCCGCCTCTTGGCAGCGCCCTCACGCGGCCGCCCGCCTCTTGGCAGCGCCGCGCCGCGTCGGGCTCGACGCTGCCGACGCCGACGGCGGCTCCTTGTGCCGGCCACGCGCGGCGGCGGCGCGACCGACGCGCGGGCGGCGGTGGAACTCCCGGGCGGCCGCTGGCCCGGGCTGGCTGGGAGGCGCTGTGGGGGGCTGCGGACAGCGGGGGTCTGTGGGGGGTGCGGTGGGGTGAGGTGTCAGGCAGCACGCACCGGATGCCGAGCTTTCGTCATTTGGCTGCACCAGGCTTAGTTCGCACATTGTGGCAACGATAGACTTGTCTTAGGATCCGTGGACGGGTCAGTGGTTAACAGGCATTTGGGATTAATTTGAGTACGCATGCCTTGTAGTTAAAGCAGAGCGAGTGTGCCGACTCCCATGGCGTTCCTGCGCCAAATGGGGATATATTGCTGCGCGTTACACGTTCTGAATGAAACATGCCTTGCGGCGTTTAAAATGTCATTTTACAGCTTTTGGCCCACCACGAGCTTCGCATCGCTTTATCATCGTGTTACTCATCGCTGACTTCGGCCCCTGCGCACGCGAGCTGTGCACGCCATGTGTTTATTGTGTAGTGGCATGTTGCTCTGTCCTGTGATGTAAGTTAGTTTATTTGTGTTGTTTTGGCCGTGTGCCACGGCCAATATCGTTGAACAACAGCCATCGGACACGCTAGCGCGCGACTGGCAATGGGAGCAATAACACTGCACCGCACGGCTTCACTGCCGGACAATGCGGCTCACCTTATGTGGATATGTGTAATGCGGTCACGCGTCTGTTGCGTGTGCGCTGCGCGGTATGCATGTGGCTATGGCACTGCCCTGGCCTGACGGTTTCCTAGCTTGTCAGCAGCAGTGCTTGCTGACCGGTTAAACCCATGTGGTGTAATTCACCGGCGCCGTTCGCTGCCGGCGCGGCTAGTTCGCGATGGCCCATCCATCCGGCCGGCCGGCATTAACAGGCCATCCGGTGTCGGTGCCCCGCTGATGGACGGACGTTGCGCCCCACCTGAGCACGTGGCACAGAGTGTGTCTCCGCCGCACCCCCGCAGAGCAGCACCTTACCGCTGGGCGGCCGAACAGGGGGACGGGCCCCTGACGCTCCCCAGCGGAAGCAAATGGATCTCTGTCGTTCGCCACCGTGGATACGCGAGACAGCGTTGTTCTCCCGCCCGCAGGAGTACGAGGAGGAGGAGGAGGCCGAAGAGGAGGAAGACGAGGAGGAGGGCCCCTCGGCGCGCGGCGGTGCTGGTGGCGGTCGTAGCAGCAGCAGCAGCAGCAGTAACGGCTACCCGCGCCGGGCGGGGCCCGCGCCGCCGGCGCCGGCCGGCGTCAGCCTCTCCCCGGCCGCCGCCAGGAGTATCGGTAAGCGTGCGCAGTGTCGGCCGCCGCTGCAGCGGGCGCCACAGCCGCCGTTCTGGGGCCGCAGCAGGCGCCGGGCCATCCGCCGTCATGGTGACTGCCACAGCCGTCACCGCGGTCGTGGCAGCTGCTGCTGCTGCGACGGTAGGCGGCCGGTGACGGCGCCGCGCTGGCCGGCGTCCCGCCAGCACCCCCTGTCGGCGGACACGGGCCGCCGTCCGCACTGTCGGCGCGGCGGCCGTCCGGCGATGAATCGGCCCCGGGCGCCGGCCGACGCGGCGCCGCGACGCCGCCGCGCTGCAGTCACCGATACGGCGCCGACACGCGGTCCGGGCCGGCCTGTCAGCGTGAGGTATGACCGCGACGCCGGCCGGCTGCACGCGCGAGGTCGGCGGCGCTGTTCGGCGGTCGCGCCGAGCCGCTCGGCGCGGGAGCAGTTGGCCGGGCTTGTGCTGTAGCACTACGGCACCAATACGCTTCCGTTACTGCGCTTGGGGCACAGCGTTTGGCTTATGAAATGGACCCGGGCAATAGGTTAAACTGTGGGTGGCACATGCTGTTTATGCAAGCCGCCCTTAGTCAATAACATCACTCTTAGAGCCCGTTTGAGGGCCTGGGGCGCTGGCGGCCGCGCATGATCAGCATCGGCTGTTGCCACACTGCCGTTTTACGAGCGGCGCCCCGTTAGCACGTGGTCGGGCGGGTGGCACTGGCGGCGTGCGGTCGGTCACGCCCCGTGTTTATGGGGCCGCGGCTGCCGACTCCGTCATCGCAGTGGCTGCTGCCGGCCGGCCGGCAGGCCGGTACCGTGCTCAAGTGCCGGGGTGCCAGATCATGGGCTGGGCGGGCCTGCGGTGTGGCCGCGCGGTCGCGGTGCCCCGGCCCGCTCTGCGGTCGGCTCCGGCGTCACAAGGTGCCCGGACGCACGTGGCGAGTTACGGCGAACATTCTCCAAACTGCAATCTTTACCTGTCTTTTCCCCGTATTTCACGCCCTAGTTTTCCTTTCAGTGTGTTAAGTGTAAATTTCGGGTCATAAATAACACTTTGTTTCTGAACGATGATTTTCGAATGCCACGGTCATTTGCTGTCGCCGTCTGCCCCTCCGACACCGCGCCAGGCGTTACGTCCGGGCACACGGGACGCGCGCGCCGCATCGCCCGATAATCCATCACCGTCCTGCGCACCTGCAGACTCAAGGCCTTCACGGAACGGACTGTCACGCGGACACGAGACTGTCAGCGACACGACGCCCGCCACGCAGCGGCGTCGGGCCAGCGCGGCCGCCCGCCGCCGCACCGGGTCGTCCTGAGCCGCACTCCAACCTTGGTGGAGCGATTTGATTAGCGTGATAGACGGCTCGCTTGTGTAATGACGACGCCTTTCCTGCCGTGATCTGGCGGGGAAGCGGCGCTGGAGGAAATGTTTCGGCTTAGCGTGTGTCGAGCAGTGTGCTGGAGTTCGCTAAACGATTGTGTTTTTTCAGGGCATTATCCTTGGTACTGTGAAGAAAGAGGCATGTTTAGGGTGTTTGTGGATGAAGTAACTTTATGCAGATGGTGCACGTGGTACCACAAGTTCGTATTTCTGCAAAGCCTTTTGTTTGGTTGCTTACCGTTCGTTCGGTTTGGACTTTCCGGGATACTCATGGAATGCGGATTAGGGTCACGGATTAAGCATTTCGAAGTATCGAAGTCATATTTCAACCGAAGTGTCACCTCGTGTGTGCTGCATTCCGGAAAGGTCGTGCTACGCTGGAGAACAGCGACTTGCGACTTGGGAGATGATAACACGCCTTGCCTCGGGGGCTCACAGCAGAACCCAGCTTGTCCGGTAAACGAAGCGCTCTAGTTTCCGGTCGTATTGGGTGGGCTGGCTCACTGTCCAGTTCGTCAGCCCCACACGTCGTGCTGTCATCACGCGCACCAAGCTACCTGTGCCGGCGGGTTTCGGCGAAAATAAGCACTGTCAAAACCGAATCCTTGTAAATGGGTATGAACGCAAATGATGACAAGCGCTGCAAAACAGGTTTAAAACGTCGGCCGTGCGATTTCTTCAGCGATTGGCATCATGAAATGCCGGGCGAAAAACTGTCGTATGCAACGCTGTGTTCAGGTGAGGGAACATAGTCGCCATGCTGCGAACATCACAGATGAGCGACCATGTTTCAGTGGGAATGTCTCGTGCATAGCGGTCTCAGAGATGAATATATATCAGCCATCACGAGTCGCTGGCCCGACAGAAGTGGACGTGGTCGTGTAGTCTTACAACAAGTACCGTGCATGCCGTACGGGCATTGCCAAACGCTTCGTAACAATAAGCACCGGCTGTGCGCTAGGCTTGAAATCAGTCGAACACATGTGGGCATGTTGAATAGCTTGTACTCCTACTCGGGGCTTAGCAAGCCGGCAGTGTTGCCCTGAGCACCGAACTAAAGCCCGCTCCCGACGCAACCCAGCGCTTTTTTATTATCAGAAATGGTATGCGACAGGTGTATTGGACGGGTGTCCCGTAACCGTTGGCGATATTTCGGGGGGTTGATTGGGATTTCATGGCGTGAGGACCGCCCCCTCGGACGGCACAACAGGCCATCGCTTCGGACTGGAATGGGACTGGTATGAGTAATGGGGCACCGGCCAGCGGGGATGCACGACTTCGTATTGCAGCGTGCGTCATTGTGTCGTTACGGACCATCATCACTCACCGCCGAATGCAATAGCGGGCCTCTGTGACCTCGGACATTGTTTGCCGGGGCACAGGCCGCCCGTGACGCGCCGAGGCTGGCTGAGACTGTCCCGTGGGGCCGGCCCGGGGGCTGCTTTTGGGTCCACCGGCCGGCTGGTCCCTGCCCGGATCGCTGCGTTGCCTCGGCGAAGCTACTGGTTATCGATGCTGTTCGACGCACGCCACTGAAACGTGCAGGGGCTCACCAGAGGTCCCTCTGGTTAAATCAGGCGTACCCTGAGGCGTCAAATCACCGTCGCAATCGGCGCGCCCTAAAACTCAAATCGTCGTTATCTTGTCACAGGTGTTCCCCGACCTTAGAAAGGCCCGCTGCTGCTTGTTCTAGATATACGGCCTGGTGCCGTTGTGCCATCTGTCTGAGATTGCTCACGAAATGAAAATTGAAACTGCATGCAAAGTTCTAAACAGACAATGAGAAGAGAGAAATGAGAGAAAGAGAGAGAGAGGAGAGAGAGAGAGAGAGAGACACAGAGAGAGAGAGAGAGAGAGAGAGAGAGAGAGAGAGAGGGAGAGAGGGAGAGAGGGGAGAGAGAGAGAAGAGAGAGAGAGAGAGAGAGAGAGAGAGAGAGAGAGAGAGAGAGAGAGAGAGAGAGAGAGAGAGAGAGAGAGAGAGAGAGGAGAGAGAGAGAGAAGAGAGAGAGAGAGAGAGAGTCCGATGGCTGGTGCAGGTGTACTGGAAGGAGAGACGTCACGCCGACGTAGCTGCAGTGAGAGCCGGAGGAGGGCCCGCGTGCTGACGCAGGTGTTCGGAAGAATGGAGGAGGTCCGGCGGCCGGGACTGGTGTATTGAGCGGAGGGAGGTGGTCCGTCGGCCTCGCTCATGTGTGCGGACGCGGCCGGCCGTAATAAATGGCGACGGAACGGGCGATGGCAGCGATATAGGCCGAGCGCGCTCCGGCCTTATACGGGCGACGCGCGCCGCTCTCGCCCTAAGAAAGCGCCGGCGCCCGTCGTGTGGCATTTACATACGGGATGAGGACAGCCGGCGGGACGTCTGATTGGCTGGTGGGGAGGCGGAGAGGCCGGCTAACGAGCGGCCCGCCGTCGGTGCCGCGCTCCCGACCGACGGCACCGGCGAGCGCCGCCCTCCGCTCTCCGCTCTCCGCCCGCCGCCCGCCGCCCGCCGCCCTCCGTTCTCCGACCTCCCAGCGTGCCGCTCTGCCGCGCTGACAAGGCGAAGACGAGTGTGGACATGTGGGCAGTGGGTTTACAGTCTGAGGCGCTCTGCCGGCGCTGCTCGGTGTACTCACGCGTATCGTGCTGTCGATGCGGGGATGTGACGCTAATGGCTCTGAATTCGTCGTGAGGTAATGAACGATTGTGACAGAAAGTGGGGCTGACAAGGCAGGGGTCGGTTTCTTTGGAGCGATGTTGTGTCTCGTGCTGCACGTGGTCTTAACGTGCATTTTGTTTATTTTTCTGGATGGAACTTGTGCTGTTTTTTGTGGAGGGAGGGCTTTGGCTGCTCCAGGGTTTGAGCACTCTCGGGTTAATTAGAATGGGCCGTTCAGCGGTGACGTTAGCATTGTGGTGGCGCCATCTGTAACAGTGTTTCGTGCATCGAATGCTAGGCGAACATCTGGCCTATTGGGTTTTAGGACAAAGTTTGTTACGAGCTTTTTGCTTTACTTGATTTGAATTCCGACGTGCTTTGGGAAGACGAGCGTGATCTTACGAACCAAAAGTGCATGAACTTTGTCTGTACGCACTTTCGTCCGCATCCCTGCTGAATGAGTCGGGTATTTCGGAGTCCATCATTGAGTCCCCGCACACAAGTCACTGGCGTAAAAATAGCACCCAGCGTTGTGCGTTTGCGTGCTTTTAGCAGTCAACAAGCGACTAGCCTCTGTGGTCGTCGCGCTCGCTTCTGTACAGAGGCCTCGCTAAGGCCGCTGCTGCTCGCGTCCCACCGTGCCCGCCCAGACGCGTGACCGTCCCGCGCGCTCGTCGCAGGCTCGTCGGCGCTGCTGGTGAACACGTCGACGCCGTCGGTGGCCGCCTCGAGCGGCGCGCACTCGCTCATCACCTCCCAGCTGCTGTCGCAGATCAAGCACAGTCAGCTGGCGCTGCAGCTGGCCGCCTCCTCCGCCCAGCAGCCGACGGCCAGCACCGAGCCCTCCCGTATCATCACCAGTAGGTGGCGCTGCCGGCGGCCGCGGGGGGCGGTAGGAGCGGGACCGCGTGAATGGGAGCTGAAGGGCCCAGCCTTGCACTGCTCTTTTCAGAAGGCTTCACGCTTGTGGCGGTTTGTGCAGCACGTCCATCATAAGGGTCTGTGACGTTCCGGTGCCGTGAGGAAAGCATCTAGGTGAGGCCGCTACAGTGGTCACAAAGTACAGCTTCCGACAGGGCAGCCCCGCCAGTGACCGTCCGTCCCGTGTCCTGTTCGCCGTCGGTGTCCACCCCCGTTGCGGCTCGGTTGTCTCGTGCGCCTCGCTGTCCTCGCTGTCTGCTGCAGCCGCCTGTCAAACGGTCTCTCCCCCGCCCCTGCAGCGCCCATGCCGTCGCTGTTCCACACGCCGTCGGGCATGCTGCAGCTGCCCGAGGGTCTGGTGCTGCTCAACAGTCCGTCGACGGTGATACAGGCCGTCAAGAGCGAGCACGGTCAGTGGCCCGCCAGGCGGCGCGCCCGGCAGCGGCGGCGCCGCGGATGCACCGGGATGCACCGCTGTCGCCGATTTCTGGCCTGCGGGCGGTTCAGGTCGATGTCGTGGCTCCGTGTGCTATTCGTCGATGTCGATATATGTATGTATTCGTCGATGCTGTTCGTTGATGTAGTTTGGGGTGAGCGCCGGGACATCGGGCCGCGGCTGTCGTGTTCGGGCAGTGGCAGTGTCCATAGATGGCGCTACGGGCGTGTGTTGGAACGCCGCGCTGTTCTGACTCTGGTGTGACCAGACTTGTGCTCGACTCGAACTGAATCATGCATCGATTCATGAGTCAATGTTTTGGGGTGAGTCGTGAGCTGAGTCGGCTTGCTGGGAAAAATGTCGCTTTGGGTCACATGCCGCTTTGAGCCGAATCACATTGCTCGTTAATTTCGTGAGCCGAACCGTGAGCTGATCATTTCTAGCAATTTTGTGTCATTGAGTCATATGGATTAAATGAAAATGATAATATGAGGAAGCACGGCACGCCCCAGACGAATAAACAAACCATTTTACAGTGCTCAAATGAATGGCACGCAGCATTTGGTGTAAAGCTTTTACTCAAAATTAGCATAAAATGTGTTATTGTACTTTCCAAGCAGCAAACCCAATATTGTGGATCATGAAGTTAAGTTGACCAAATCTCAGCCAGGAACCAGGGTATGTTACATGGTAAGCACATCCTACACTCACATATCGTATATGCGAGAATCAGTGAAAGTATGTCCGCTTCCTACAATATAGAAGAGTTGGTCATATTTTGTAGTTTTCGGTTGTCAACAACAATATGTCTGTACCATCATACTTGGGCTGCTGTAAGCGTGCTATTGCTGAGGCTGTACGAAATCAACAGCAGTAGTGACCAGGTCGTTTCGTCTCTCGTGCGGATTGTTTGTTGCGGGATGTGACCTCCTGCGTCAATAGCTATTTTCACGCAGCATGCTGCAGTTTGCCCGTGAGAATTGGGCTTCCATATTTAGTGGTCTTGGAGTGCGGGTGCAGAAGCGCGCAGCACCGCAATCTCTGCGTCAATAGCTATTTTCACGCAGCATGCTGCAGTTTGCCCGTGGGAATTCGGCTTACATATTTAGTGGCCTTGGAGTGCGGGTGCAGAAGCGCGCAGCACCGCAATCTCTGCGTCAATAGCTATTTTCACGCAGCATGCTGCAGTTTGCCCGTGAGAATTGGGCTTCCATATTTAGTGGTCTTGGAGTGCGGGTACAGAAGCGCGCAGCACCGCAATCTCTACGCAATGCGGAAACCTGTTTTGACTCCTAACTCATCATGAAGTGGCCTGATGAGATGAGGTCTGATGAGGCACCCCGCGAAAACGGCAGTGGGCGGCGCCTTCGTTAGCAAATATCGAGTTCAGTTGTTCAGTTCAGTTCAATTCAGCTCAGTGCGGTTCCTTGTTGAGCGGAAAACGGGGCTCAAGTTAGGTGGATTTGTGTCGGGCTTGTTTCGGATAAATGTACTTGTAATTCGTAACATTTACTACCTAAATAAGATCATAATATGTTTGTAACTTATGCTAGCTAATTGCTATTGCAAGAACCGCAGTCCGATGTTGAATTGTTAACGTGCCTTGGCCAACGGTATCGCTAGTATGTTAGTGGAGATGTGATTGCTTGAGTGTGAATGCGTTTGGCTGGCACCTGGTCGGTCTGGGTGGCGGGGGCCAGGTGGAAGGTGTTAGCCGGAAGCTGAGACTTGAGAGAGCTAGCTGTTTGGTAGCAGGTTACGGGTTATATGTGGTTTGCGGAGCTGCATTTGGTAGGCTCAATGTACAAACTTGCGTCTTGACTTTCATATCTATTTTCCATACCACGATATGCATTAATATATATATATATATATATATATATATATATATATATATATATATATATGAATGAATGAATGAGCCACATGGCTCGTGAGTCATAAGACAACGAGTCAGAACTGAAAATTGAACCCTTGATTGTACAAGCTGTGTAAGTTATGAGTCAAATGATTCAATGCAAGCAGTGAGTCAGAACTGAGCTAAATTTCAAAAATGATGGAACGTCTTTAAGTCATGAAAATCTTAATCAGATTCATGAGAACCTGAATGGGATCCCAAAATCTGTGAGTCGCTGCTGAGTCAGCCTAACAAAAGTTGTGCCGAACACAAGTCTGAACGTGACCGTGTGGAGTCACCTGTTGTGGCTGGGTGGCGGCCTAGGGTTGAACCGCGGATGTGTTGCATCTATGCAAAGCGTCTCCAGCGCGGTGCGCTGTCGGCAGGTTTCAGGGCCGGTGGTGGAGACTGCAGGATCGCAGATGTCCTGACGGCCCGTTCGTTGTCTGCTTCCAGCCGGCGAGCCGCCCAACACCACGCAACCAACAGACCTCTCCAAGTCCCGCGTCATCAACCATGTCTCGTAGACCCGCCTGCTGCGCCGGCCGGGGCGCGTTCCGACGAGCCCTCTCCGACGCCGACCCGGGCGAGCGCCGTCTCTCAAGACGAGGCTCCGACCGGCGCCTCTGGTTGGACGGCAGCTGTGCTCAGTACGTCGTCTCTGGTCGGCCCGACGGGGCCCGGCCGGCTCAACCCCCGCGCCGCCTCCCGACGTCCAGTGACGGCTGCGTGCCGGGGTCGACGGCCGGCGGAGGTGCTAGGCGTGACTACCAGTGAGAGGCGGCGGCCGCTGCACCGGAGGGCGGCCGCTGGCGGAGACCGACCCGACCTCGACCCCGCGCGGAGCAAGAGCAGCGGCGGCCGGCTCGCCTGCGCGCGTGTGTGTAGTGATAGTCCTGGCTGAGGTGGTGTTACTGCGCGTCTAACGCCCATATCTTCTTTCGAAAGGACTGAAACGCACCGCTGCACTGAGGATGATCTGCGCAAATGATATGAGCGTTGAGAAAGACGGCCTTTACACAAATCTCGTGGCCCAAGCACGGCTCCTCTGCTGAATGCATGACATTCAGACAGCATCTGCGATCCGTGTGGTTCTTAGGCTTCATGAAAGTATCTCGCTCAGTTCTTCATGTCCTTTTGTACAGTGCTGCTGAGCAGGATTAGTGTTTCTCATCGTTTCGCACCTGAATACGTTGCTTTGTTTTCGTCTGTCCTGCGACTAATAGCTTGGTGGGTGTTGTTTTTATTGTTATCAAAACTCGACTAACGTCCTAGTCAACCTTCATAGAGCGTGGTGTGAACCCTGTTCAAAGCGGGATTTCTGGTTTGTCTTACAAACAAATAGGAACCAACATATTTCAGTAAGTGTGTGACCTGTGCTGACTTGAAGCAGCGCTCACGCCCTGGTGGGCAGTACAGGTTGTGTCGCTCAATGCTTCAACGGGGAAGACCGATTGCTGTGTTTCGATGCCGCACCAGCTGTTCTCCATGTCATCGGTGTCAGTGCGTCCCATCAGTGTGCGAGCAGAGGGAAAGACAGACAGATGTATCATTATCGGGTGCTAACGGAACTCTGCCAATTTTCTGGAGCAATGAATGGAAGCTGTTGCGTTCGAGCCTCGCTGGCGGCGTGTGAGTTCGGCGTCGGCCATATTGTCGAATTTTATAATGGCGTCGAGTCGTATTCACGCACGTGTCCTGTGGTATGATACCTGCGAACCCATGGTGAAAGCCGTCGCCTATGCACGGCTTGTGGCAGGTGACGGGGCTTGCTTCCGCTCAAGGGTGCCGAGCGTCTGTGGCCGGCGGCCGGCGTCTGCTGCCGCCTCACTAGGCGGCTGGCGAGCCCTCGGCGGGCGCCGCGCCGCTGCCGCCGCCGCTGCCTCCGCCTCCGCCGCCGCCGCCTGACACTAACCCCGTGTGCTGTGTACTAGGGCTGCCGTGGCGGCGTGCCACTGACGTATAACACTGTGTGGGCCTCGCCGCGCGCCGTCCGCGTCGGTCCCGTCGGCGGGGCTAGCGCGGCACGGGCCGGCTCGCGCGCCCCGTCCCGGTCGAGCGGCGCCGTCGCGTGGAGTCAGACTGGAGTGCCCGGTGGGCCGGACCTGACCGATGATTGGTGCTCCTCCTCCCCCCCCCCCGAATGCTGTGTATTGCAGCCCCCCCCCCCCTCTCGTGTCATAGGGACCTGCGCTTGTTGCCTTCCCCAGCGTGACTGCTTAGTTGTCTTGTTACTTTTTGTATAAATGTACGAGTTTAGGTCGCCTATGCCGGTTGACTTCGGTGAAGGCCGGGGCAGAGAGCCTGTTTGCCTTTGCAATAGCCGACTGGATGATCGATAAAGAATGGAATGTGACGCTTTGAGAGACGTTTGGAACCGTTCTGGAAAATTCGCACGGAGACAGGTCGTGAGACATCGGATGCGTCAGTGCCGCTTGGTCAGCATTTCTGCTGACAAGCCGACGTCTCCCGCGTGATGCAGCACTGCCGGCACCGATATCCTGTGGTGCGTACACCACATGCCTCTTGTATGATGTGGAGATCGAACGGCACGCTCGTGCAGCGCCAGGAAATGTCGGCAGCGAGCTGGGCTCGCCACCTCCGGCGTCCGCCCAGAAATTGGCCGGCGCCTCCGTTCACATCCTGAATGGTGCCGATAACAGCTGACGCATCGCCGGAAGGAAGCGCCGCGGAGGCTGTCGCCGTCTGGAGACGGCCGGCGACGTCGCTAGTGGGGGCACTTCTGGCCGGAATTCCCCGGCGCCCCGCCTCGCATGACGCAGGGTGCGCCCCGAGCGGTGCGTGTTCTCGGCGGCACCATCAGAGACTGGCCGGCCGGCATTTCCTCTCTGCGATCACCTCGCAGGCACGCGGTGGCTGTGGGAAATGAGTAACTGCGCGTGTTCGAGCGCGGTGCGTCAGCCGTCTCTATCGGGACGTTCGTCGGGCCGATCGAACGAGGATGTCGAGCCGATCAGTTACCGATACCGCCGAGCGGCCTTGAGTGCTGGCGGCGTTTTTGCGCGGCTGGCCTGCGTCGAGTGCCGGCATCTCCGAGGTTACCGGGAGCGTTCGATGGCACACGGCCACCGGAGATGGGATACGAGACGCTGCTGATACACTGCCAAGAGCGCCGTCAGGGACGCGTGCGCCGGTGAGCTGCTGTCGACAGCTGCGTGGTTATTTGTTATGTGATGACGGGAAAGGACGGACGCTCTCGATTGAGCATGCCATTAAAATTCGTGTGTATACGTACTTGCATCCATCGGATATTTTGTCTTAATCGTGTAGAGATGGAAACGAAAATGTCGTTTTGGGGCAGTGGACAGCTTCCGAAATTATGGCAGGCACGACTTGTTTCAAGTATGGTCCGCAGGTTAAAAATTGTCTCAGCATGTGGCAAGGATACTTATCACTGACCTACCCATGTACATGAACTGATGAATATGAGATCATTGCTTAGTCCCGTTCGCTCGCCCTTTCCACATACCGTGGACTATATTTCATTTCACCAAAACAGTCCTGGTTTTCTCGGTCGTCCGTTTGTAACACCAGCGTATTGCGCTAGAGAGTCCCGGATGGCTCTTTCCGTCCCCTATAACGCGTCCCTGGCCGTGTCCTCGTCCTCGGTCTCATCCGCCCCGATTCTCCGCGCTCTCCAGCTGCCCCAGACGACGCCGGGAGTGACTCCGAGAGTCCAAATCAGACACTTGACGCCGCCCGCGCCAGCCGCGCCAGCCCCCCCCCCCCCTCCCGTCAGGGGGGGGGGGGGCAGCAGGTGGCGTCGTGACCGGTGGCACGGCCGGTTCACGTGCGCGGGCCGCTATCGCACCGATAGCCTGGCGCCGCCAGCGGCATTATCCGAACGACAGATGGCCGGGCAAACAGACGGCGGCGCCGCCAGCTCAGAGCGCCGGACAGCCGCCCGGACATACGCGGGCCGGACGCCACCCGCGCTGTCCGGCCGGGCGGTGGGACAGGTTCGAGGACGAGCGCAAACCAGACCGGTCACCATCAGGAAAGCCGGGGCGATGGATGTGGCGTGGAAACTGCCAGTGGCGACGTGACGCTCATTGTCATTAGCCAAATCTTATTATTCAGCTATTCAGGGATGTTGTGCCGGTTGCCTTGCCACTCCGACTTCCAGCATTCTACCATTTGCCGGCAAGAATGACTGGGGAATGCCGCCTGAATACATACCAGCGACCACGCCATTTTGCCTTGGAAATGAATCTACTCAGGGATGCATAGAGGACTTCACAATGGAGGGGTGGAGTGGTACGCCTGAAAATGCTGGTATCGAAAACCAAGCGCGCCGTAAAAATTGCGAAATTCAATTTGCGGCGTAAAACGTGTGGCAGCCAATGCAGAGGTGCATGAAGAGAATCAACGTGTAACTGGGCTTGTTTTCTTCCTTGCTTCCCGTTGCGGACGCAGCTCCCAGCCGATACCAAGGGCGGTAAAAGTGTACTTTTTGTCGCCGACCAAATTTATTGGGGGGAAATTGTCACCAGCAGCGTAATGCGATATCACATGACAAAATGGTCATTGAGTCCACGCCCAGTAGCGTCATCAGGAATCCGCCTATCACAGAAAGCCTGTTTCATCACTGCCATTTTCAACATCACGCACACAACTAAAACGCTCAACTCTACAATGTCCTTCAAAAAATGTCAGCATAAGTGCAGCTGCTAGCAAAGCAGGCACACCTGCCCTAGACTATGAGATAGGTCCATTCACAACAATAGTTTTCTTCCACACCTTGGGACTTGCAGAGGCCTCATGTTTAAACCTACGGCAGGATCTGCTTTCCTCGACCGCAAAAAAAAAACAACGAAAGACCTTCACAGCCAGAGCAGAAGGATGCATGGTACAGCGCGAACCAGTGGCGAACAGCACTGGGGATGGCGTCCAATATGCGGGCCTCCTCGAGGCCGTGCCCCCTTACGAATATCACGTGTGCGCTTCGGGCGCTATCTCAACCGTCATTAAACTATCCACCATACCTGGGCACGCTCCAAGCCTGGCGTGACATGTTTTGCCTGGTGGGCGCATCTCGCCGTGCCCAGCAAGTAAGTCGCATTGAAATTTAGGGGGGGGGGGGCAGGGTCATGCGATCCCCTTACGATTTTCCAGAGAATTTCAATGCGTCATATTGTGCAGCCTCGCTCAGATCTTTAAAAACTCTCCTCTGGGACATCCACTGCACGCATGTTGACACGGCAAAGTGCACCAAGCAATTATCGTTCCAGAGTAGCGATGTTTCTTTACGTGCATTGCAAGACGATGCAAGGCTGGCGGGCGCGGCGGGCGGCAAGCGACAGTTCTGCGGACGGCGCGCGTAGGGCTGGGCGTTGTTACATGAACGAAGCCCTACATTATGAAGATAGGCTCGAAACAGATAAAGCTGCATGCTGTTGTACTCATAATTAAACAAGGGACATACCTCTCCATGTTCCATGCCATTACACTGCGTGCTTTCGTATATGAACATGCAAAGCTGATGTCGTTTAGAGAATCTGACATAAGACTTCGTCTAGTGGGGTCAGTTAACAACAGTAGACTTCTTACCAATCGCGAGATCTCTTGACAGATAGATTACCGATGTCTTTTTTACGAGACCCCACCTTTCTCACGTCAGGGAATCGCCCTTCCCCTCCCCTTTCAGCCCGCATTATGAGGACCGGCGAATCAGGGTAAAAATTAAAGGGAATGGTCCACATTCGAAGATATTGAGATAAGCATCAGATATGATGGGAAGAGCTGACGTGTAACCATTGGTAAGCTTACAAAGTTCAAAAACGACCCTATGTACCAAATTTCAAAGATTTTTTTAAAAATGCGCCCCATTACGTTATTACTCGAAGGCGTCACGGAATCTTTTTGTGACGGAAGCAATACCTGGCAGCATCTGACAGCCAGCCCTAACGAATACCTCGAAACGCACGGAAGCTGACGCCAGCCGGCCATTCTCGCCGCAGGCGCTGTGTCGGGTGGCGGATTAGTGAATGGCTTTGTTTTGTGGATTTTTGTCTTGGCACTGTCGTGAGAAAAGCTTTGGTGGGGCTGTTGACACATGCAACGTAGCGATCGTCAGCTTTTGTCAGATTATTCATATCAAAGCACGATATGCTGTGAAAACTGGCATATAGTGTTATGAATCTCTAAGCGAAACCTGCCAAGGACTGTTGAGAATGTCAACAGTGTATTGTCGACCTATCTTTGCCTGCAGTGCTG